CGGCCCTTCCTGAGTGTTTTTCCAGCCCCGGGTAGCCTCCGGCCCGCTGGGCCCCGGGCAGCCCTCCGGCGCTCGGAGGCCCGGTGTCCCCTCGCCGCCGCGTTCCCTAAGCGCCGGCTTCTCGGCACCGAGCGGGCACGTCCTGTGCCGGGCCGGGGCGGCCGCCCTGTCCTGGCTGCCGGGCCGCGGTCCCTGGCGGGGCGTGTTCTCGGCCGGTGGGGGAGGAGGAAGGGGAGAGCGACAGGCCGTCTGCTCTGCTCCCGCTGCCCTTCCTGCCCGGGAATCGACGGGCACCGCTGCCTTCCTCCTCCCTTCTGCCGGCCGGGAACAGCCCTTCGGCTCTTGGCTTCTTTCCATCCCAGGGTGAGAACCCCCCGTTCCCTCGCTCCCCCCTCTTAAGTCTCTGGGCTCCTTAGTAGCCTCTCTCGGCTGCAAGCACAGATAGCCCTGGGCTCAGGAAAGCTGGCAGGAGAGGAGCGGTGCCCGTGCTGTTCCCGCGTACACAAGGCTGAGATCCCTCTGGGCAGCGCTCTGCGTGCGGGATGTCCCTGCGTTACTCCCGTGGGACAGGCAGGCGCGGTGGTAGGTTTTGTAGAGGCCTGGCCAGGAGCAATTCCCCAAATCTTTCCACCTCTTGACCGAAGTGCGTGTCCCTGCCTGTGCTTTCCGAATGTGGCTGCCGTCCAGCATCCCTAGCAAGGGCAGTGCTGGTTCACTGAGGGAACAGGCACAAAAACGATTTGCAGAGATGCCTCCTCAGCATGTGAACTGGATAGCTCACTTTTGCAATCGCAGCAGCTTTACTCATGAGTGTGGGATGGGAAGGCTGTGGCACATGTAAAACCGGTTTCTGCAGTTTGGAGGTTGAGAAAGCCACCTCCTGCTCTGGCCAGTCCCATGCCTGAGAAGCCACAGCTTGCCAGGTGTGGTGCAACAGGTGGCAGCTTTAGGGCTTGTGTTTGCCGGCCCTTCCTTGCTGCACCTTGGATGGCTTGTTTCCCACGCCAGCGGGTTTTGGGAGGTCCTTGCCAAATGGGCTTGTGCTGAGCACAGGGGGTTCCCTCCAGGAAAAAACAGTGCTGAGGAGACACCAGGCCAGTTATGACTGTCCCTGTCCCCCAAAGACCTTGTACTCCCCAAAACCTCATGATCCTCCCATGATTTCCACCACACTGTTCAGAGCTCCCACCTTCCCCATTGCCACCAATTCCCCACACTGTGCCGGAGCCCTTGTGTCCTGCTCTGGCAGCTTTGGGCTTCTTACTGGGATACAGAAGGAAAACCAGTGTGTTTCCAAGCCGGGGAAGGGAACTGGGGTTGAGCTGGAGCTGCTCGGCAGTTCTGGTTTCCTCCTGCCTACGGTGTCCCAGCAGAGGCCTGGTAACTACCGGGTACCCACACTGGCTCTCCTTCAGGTGCTGCTGTGCTCTGCAGGGACAGTGTTTCCCGATGCGCTGTGCCTTAACAACTCGCGTATCGCAAACGGGCTTGGATGCGGCAGGTTGTTCCGCAAAGTGCAGGACACCGTAACTCGCTTGTCCGAACGCGTACCCTCAGCGGGGACAGCCCTCTGAAGCAGCCAGCCGGCAGCGCAGAGCGTGCCTTAGCTTTGTTGCTCTCTTTTCGGAGCCTCCAAGGGATTTGGTGGTAGTAGTTAGGGTGCTTAAAGACCTGGTGTACTCTGAGCAGTGCACCGAAGGTTATTGGGGTTAGATTTGTTCAAACACTCATGAAAGTCTATCAGGGGCAATTTGCAGTGCTCTCCTTTCGGTGCACCGAGGCTGCACAGTTCGGCTCGCTCTTGCAAAACGCCCCCTGAAACCTCCACCCCACTGGGAATGAAAAAGGGAAAAGCTCCCATAGCTTCTGCGAGTTACTAGCTAAGAAATTCAGAAATCCTTTAATAAATTATACGAGCACTTTATTCACTTCACTTCGTAGAAAATGGCTTTTACACATTTGCAAAAAAGTGTAAAGCTTCATAGAGCTGTTGGGGCCTGAAAATAAGGAGGTACTACTGAAACGTAGGGAAGTTGCAAACTTTCCAGGAATAAAAGACAGCCTTTTCTTTGATGCCGGAAATTAATTTATGCGATGCAGTAAATGATTTAGATTTTCACATGAAAGCCACTCCAACCGCGCTGCTGCGTATTTTTTAGAATGGGGGAATTTTTGCCATTTCTTGTGGGAAGCTCTGATTTTTTGGTTTGGAAGCACCGGGGAGTGTTTCGGTAGCTTTTTGGCATGCTCGGCTAACCGATTCCTCCCTGGGAGAGGAGTGCTCGGCACATGGCGCACAGCTGCAGAACTGGTCAGGAAAGATCTGATTAAACACTTCTGTGCCGAAAAGCGCCAACTTGTCAAAATCCCAGCCGTCTGCAGGAAAGAACTGGGCTCACTGAAACTTTTATCAGGAAAATTTTTGTGGCGTGTGTGTACACGCACAGGGGTGTGTGTGTGATCCCGTGCTAGCCTGGTGCAAAGAATATGCATTTGGTGTGGAAGAGATGGCTTTTCCTCTCGGGGGAAAAAGCTGGATTGGTTTTAATTTGGATTCATAAACGCACAGGGGACTTTTTTTTTTTCCCCAGAAAAGGTTTTACAGCTGAAGGAAAAAGTGATAAAGCGAATGGGTTTTAGATGCTTTGGTGTTTTTCTGCCTCGTTTGCATTTTTAGTGGAAGTTGTTGAAGATTTTCAATGGTGGTTGTAAGAGGGGGATTAAGGCAGTGATAAGTTGATAGAAAACACTAGTCTGTAGCTAAATATTCAGTGTTGTGGTGGGCAGTGAGGGTTTACATCAAATCCTGAGGGTTTACATCAAATCCTACCCACTCGTGGCCCTTCTGCATTTGTAACTAGGTTTCCTGAGCCTCGTTTTTACAAATCTGCGGTGAAGTCGCTGTGAGGCGCCAAGGGGGCAGAGGACAGGAGGCCTCAACCACGCGATGGCATTGACACAGAGGCAATGGCTGCCTGGTCGGCAAAGGGGGAGGTGAAGCAGCGGAGTTTCAGCTAGTTTCAGCTGATGGAGCAGGTTTCCTTGGGCTCGCAGTGGTCTGGGAAGGAGTGAAGCCTGACCGGAGCTTTTCCTGCAGTCGTGGCTTTCCTCCTGTTGCTGTCTCTTGTGGGCTCTCTGTTGTCTAACGAGAGCTGGTTTTATGCCGTAGCTGTACCCTCGGGTGGGTTCGTAACAGTGCAAGGCCTGTGTGAAGCAGAGACTGCGATCCCTGACTGGGCAACCGGACAAAAATGGTAAAAATGCAATCAGGTGTGGAATAAATGAGCAAATGCAAGGTGATAATTCACAGTGGGATGCGGGATGACTATTCAGAATAAGGGTTTGTTCTGGAGAAAATGAATTTTCTTCTTCATAGTGCATGAGCAATCGGTTATTTAATGAGATGAAAACGGGAAATGAAATTGAGCAAAGGCAGCATTGCTTTCTGCAGGGTGAGCCTCTGGGATGGCCTGCCACAGGATGCCAAGGATGCCGAGAGCTTACGTGGATCCAAAAAGAGATTAAATTACATGAGTAGAGAGGTGCTGGACTGCTAGAGTCCTCGTTACTTTTTTAAGTGGGCGAAATTAGAAGGAAATTTTCCCCAGCAGCCTTACCCCGTAGCCGTTCCTCATTATCCCCATGTCCATGGATGACCTGGCCAGGGCTCTGGGCTCCATCATCCAGTCAGCCTCAAGCCGGGGAAGGGGCACAGATCAGAAGGAGCAGGGGGAGTCAATGCCTGCTGGCAGGCACAGACGTTTTATTTTGCAGTTTCCCTCGATGGTGGGAGGAGGGATTCGACACAGAGAGGATCTGCTCTGCCCTTGCTGCCCTCGTCGGTGGTTGCTAGTCTGAGGACTCAGAAGGTTCCCTCCTGGCATGCCTTTGGACTTTTAATCAGCACCATGTGTGGCGTGCTTTGCTGGCGAGTCCCAAGACCCCGGTCCCCCCATTCGTTAGCAGGGAGCGGAGCAGGCAGCCTCCCCTAGGATAACGGCTCTGTGACTCGGGAGCATCATTGAGCAACCTCCCCATCACGCCTAAGTGGGAAGCAGTCGCACAGAGGACACATCTGCGCTCTGGGATGTGCAGAGGGCTGCAGTCGTCATTTGCCCGCCGGCTAAAAGGAAGGTGACATTGAGATACAGGGAGAAGAAAAAAAATAATTAGGCTGAGACTCCTTTGGGCAGACGATCTACCCCGCGGTTTGCTGAACTGTGACTTCGGTTGGCTCCGTGTGGAGTTTGCACGATTAATTTGCGTTGTTTAACCCTGTGCTGGGCCGCAGTTGAACGCCACCGAGGCTGACTTCTTTGAGAGTTTGCTGGGGAGCAAATCGCTCCAGCAAAAAGCACGGGCTTTTCTGGGCAGCCAGAGGGTTGTCTGCTGGGCTGCGTAGCAGGGCTGTCCTGCTTTTTTTCCCTCTGGACTCAAGGCAGCCTCCGTCTTTGGAAATGGCACAGGACCCATTGCAGGCATATCAGAGAGGGAAAAAAAATACAGGAAGGTGGACTACAATAGAAGGGTTGTCTGATAGGAAACCCCGGACAAATAAATGCATTTTTTTCCCCAGGAAACCCAAACCAGTTCCATAAAACATTGAAAGATGTGGGGCCACATTTTTCCAAGGGAAATGGCTGCCTGAAGAAGCTGATAACTGGGAGTGGGATTTTTTTTCCCCCCTCTGTGTGTTTGGAGAGGCTGCTGGGGGGGCAGCAGGATTTCTGATGGGCAGGGAGTCCGGGTCATGGGTCTCCAGGGGAGGGGAGGGAAATCCCAAGCCAGTGGCTCAGAGTAAGGGAAAGGAAATTTTAAATCATTTCTGTAGGGGAAAAAGAGGGAATCCCAGGTCACCGGTGGAAAAAAAAAGACGTGTAGGAGGGAGCCCTGCCTGCCCGGGGTATCTGCACTATCATCTCTGCTGACGGGAAGGGGGTTTTTAACCCTGCAAAACCCCTTTGCTTTCTAGTACGCGGCTGTGCTGCAGGCTCACACCCCGCTGTGGTTTCAGGGGCGGATGTCTCGGCGCTCTCAGAAGCCGAGGGAGCTGCTTCCTCTCCTTTGGGTTTAGGTTTGTATTGATTTGTTTGTATTTGTTTCGCTTGCACCTTGTGTTTGGTTTTCATTTGGCAGTGATTAGCGGTTAGAGCTCTTGGCGTGTTTTGGGATGTTTCCCAGCTCTTCTGACCTTATCGCCAAGCACGGATAAACCAGAGCCGTTGGGAACCCTGGGGGATTAGTTACCGATATCTGATTGCGGCAGGTCCAGACTGCATCCATGCAAATCATTGATTTTTCTGAAGAGAAAAAAAATCACCAACCCCAAACAAGCTTTGACCTCCTCCTGAGCCCTGCATCCCTCACAATTCAGATGTTTGTTATTCCCATGCAGAAATTAACTTGGGCTGCAGATGAATCCCCGTTTTGAAATGTTCCTCCCTGTCCTGCTTTGCTTCCATCAGCAATCCCTGGGGATGTGCCTGGATCTCCCTGGGGATGCGCCTGGATCTCCCTGGGGATGCGCCCGGATCTCCCTGGGGCTTTGCCTGTCCTGAAGCTCCATTTTTGCTGCAGGCAGCTGTTGGTGCAAAGGCTTTTGCCCCAGCCCCGCTGGTGGTGAGGGAGGTGTGGCTGTTTCCATAGAATCATAGAATAGTCTGGGTTGGAAGGGACCTTTAAAGGTCATCTAGTCCAACCCCCCCCCCCCCCTTTTTTTTGTTCTCATCTTCTTTCTGGGAAGGGTCTCGCTCATGAATCCTGGTCCGAATCGAAGAGAGAGGGGACGATGCACTGCAGCGGTGCTGGGACAGCCAAGAGAAGTGATGGATGACTTCAGCCTGTGCTTTGAGGAGACGCTAATTTCACTGTCCGTCTGTCCTACCCGGAGGGTTTTCCACCTCTTTGCTGCAGCTGGCTTCCCCCTGGGGCCTGGGCCGCACATTTGGTGACAGCGAGAGGCTGGCGGGGGGTGGGGACGGGGACAGGCGCCGCTGTCGAAACAGGATCTTGCTAACCACATCCTCAGCCCCACCGCCGCAGGTCGGGGCGGCCGTGCTGCGCGCCAGATGGCTGTGCCGGTATGGCCTCCAGCCACGACGCCGCCGCGTGGGCTGCGGCTGGGGGGGACGGGAGGACCCCAGCCGGGGTTTTGCTGCCGTAGCTGGAGATGCAGGCAGCCGGCACGCAGCCCCAGCAGCCCACGCCGCTCCCGGCCAAGATGCAACCGCGTGAATCCCCGACGAGCTTCCCGGCGCCGACCTCCTCTGCCCGCCGTCGAAGGCGGATTTGAAACGCCTCCGAAACACCCGGTGGTGCGCGCAGCCCTCTGCAATTATTATTTGTACCGCAAGCTGCTTCCTGCCCCGAGCTGCTTTTATCTTGCATTGTTTTCCTTTCCAGGTGGGGCCGTGGGCTCCCCGCTGCTCGGCCTCCGGGGCTGCCTCCTCCGGGGCTGCCTCCTCCAGGGCTCGCCGGCCGCGCCGCTGGCTGCGGCTCACTGGCGGAGAGGCCACCTTTGTCTGCCAGCCCGTCCGCCCTCCTCCTCCTGCCAGAGCTATTTCGGGAAACGGCAGCTGAGCCGGAGGATTGTTAATTGTTCCTCAAACCCCTTCCAGCCTGGTTAGATCACATGCGGAGATTAGAGCGCCCCGTCACACCCTTTCCTCCGCCTCCTTCTCCCGCATCCCCCCCGGCCCCCCAGGGATGGGGGGCAATGCCCCTTCCACGGGCAGGTGGACGGACATGAGGCGCATCCGACTGTCCGGGATGCCGGCCCCACCGAGGCGACGGCTCCCATGCCGTGCCGAGCCGTGGGTATCACGGAGGTGCCCTGCTCGGAGGGGAACCCCAGCAGGGTCACCCACCAGCAGGGACCGGCTCTGGGTGCAGGCAGGAGCCCCGGGCAGGCAGGCAGGCAGGCAGGCAGGCAGACAACAAAGCCACCCCAGGCACTGACCTCAGAAGCTGCCATGTGACTCTGCCTCAAACTTACTAAAGCATGACATCAGCCTGGGAGGGAAAGGCAGGGCTGCCACCAAAATACTGCCTGGCTTAAACGGGCTGCCTGCACGCTGCCGGGACGGCCGCTGCCTGCGCTGCTGCCGGTCCTCTCCTCCTGCCTTCCTCTTGCACGGCCGCCCCTGGGAAAGCAAACCGCTGCCCCGTCTCTTTGCAAAGGGCATGAAGTGCAGGCAGGGGCAGGGCAGGCGTCAAGGCAGGGCTTCGGTGCCCTGGGAATAACACATGCCGACGGTTGTGCCCGACACCGGCCGCGGTGTTGGTGGGTGAAACCAGCGGTACCGGGTCAGAGTTCTGCTGTCTGACGGCGTGCACCTCTGCTCCTCTCTGACGGCTCTCAAAGTCCCCTGTCTGAGCACTAATAGGGATGAGGGACCACTCGGTACCTGTCCCCATCGTGGTTATCCCTGGCCAGGGTAGGGGAGAGGCTGCCAGCCCGCCCGGTCCTAGGCAGGGTAGGTAGCCAAAACCTGGCGACCAGAGAGAAATGGTGCCTCATGCCATCGGGGTGAGGCGGTGAGCAGCATAACAGGTCGGTCCGCTCGGATCCGGGCATCTTTACTCAGCAGAGCTCTTGTGCCCTGTCTCCTCCACCCGCGTTCAGCTTTTTCCAGCCGGTGGGGTGGCTTTGCACCACTGCTCTTCATCCGCATCCGAGTCGGGAATATACCCAGCTGAGACATATCAAACCTGGCTTTATCCTTCTAACTGGGGTCATCTCTGCTGAGGATGCAGGTGCCCGGTTCCTGCAAACAGCAGTCCCAGAGCAACACGCCTAGTGATGCACAAGCCGTTTTTGCAGGGGCACAACCAAACGCCGTGCCGTGGAGGGGGCACCGGTGGCGGGCAGACGTGCCGGCTGCAGGCGAGAGGCGTGACTGCAGTCCCAAACATCCGAGCCCAGACCTGCCCCGGCTGGTTAGACTGACCCGAGGGCTTAGGCCAGGGTGTTGCCGGCCCTCTGAGGCGTGGGGAGCAGGTTCGGCGGGTCTGGAAACCCTCGGTTCCCACCGCCGGGGCTGGCGTCCCTCCGGCCTCCCACGCCGGGCGTGGGGGGGGACAGCCCCGGCCTCTGCAGCTGGGAGAGGCTCACCCCAGCGCGGGCGGGGGGAAAGCCGGGACCGGCTGTTTTAGCTGGGGCTTTGGCTGTGTGGTTGAGCACACTCCGGTCTAGTCGTTTAAGATGGAGCGTGGGAGGTTTGTGCAAGAGGAGGTGGACATTTTGAGGTGTCAGCCCCCAGGTTGACATGCCGTTGCGTTCAACGTCCGGAGAGCGGCATTCGAGGTTTCCCAGCTGTGCTCAAGCGGGAGGAAAACATGCCTTTGGTCTGAGCGTGGGGTTTTTTTGGGGGGAAGGCTGTCAACTGTGTCTTGATGTGGCTGAATCTTCACCTGTTTTTTGTTACTGCTGTGACCAGCCACCCCCTTGTCCTTCCAGCCAGCCAGGACCTGGTGGCAGATCCTGCCAACAGAGCATCACGACAGGCTGCAGCTCTCTTCTGGGGGGTCTGCGGACAAATCCCATGGAAAAAAGGGATGGAAGTGAGTTGTTGTGTGTCAGCTGAGAATGGAAACTGATACTCCGGGGCAGCACGCTGAACTTCCTTAATTTTGGGTCCTTTCGCTTCTTGCCTCCTTGCAGACGGTGGTTGCTCCTCGGTGGCAGAAGGAGGGTCCCCGCTCCAAGCCCTGCAGCGTCCCTGAGCTTTCTCGGGGGCTTCCCTGGCGCCCGGGGCTGTGACTGGGGGGCGGGTTGTCCCTCTGCGGCCCCCAGCCACCGGCCTGGCCCTGCCACCGGGTTTCACAGCTCCGGCAGGGCGAGGTTTCAGCGCCCAAGCGAAGCGCTCCAGGCTGCCGCGGTCCCCGTCACCCTTGGAGGTGCTGGTGGCCCTGTTGTCCTCCCTCGTAGCCCTTCCCGCCCCCGCTGTGGGTCTTCCTCTTCTGTCCCGGGCTTTCTGCGAGCTTGGCTGCCAGCCCCCCGGGGCAGATCTCCGCCTGGCGGCGGGGCAGGGGTGGCTTTCTGCCCCACGTCGGGGCAGCTTTTCCCTGGGGTACTCAGAGGTGCGCCTCCCCCTCCAGCCAACACCAGCATCGGTTCCTTCTCTAACACGACAAGATGCCAGAGGCCGGTGCCGAAACCGGGGGAGACGTTTCTAACCTGCGCAAAACGGGGGTGGCTCTTGGCTGGGTTTGGGGTTTTTTTTTCTTTCCCCCCAGAAATGTTTCAGTTGTTTTGGCCAAAATCCCCACTGCTGCCTGTCGGTCTGATCAAGCCAATGTGGAGTGCAGGGGAGCCGGGGTGCTGCAGAGCCCGGGGTGCCGCTGCAGACCCCGGGGTGCCGCTGCAGCCCCGAGTGCTGTCCCCCGGCCGCTGCCGGCGGAGGGACCCCACCGGCAGCCCCGTGCTGGCGTTGCCGCTTTAAGAGCCCTCTCCGCGGGGCGAGCGTTCGAACCCGCTCCCCTGCCTCCCCATTGGCCGGCGCGGGGGCGGGGGGGCAAGGCGGCGGGCGGC